ACAATTAAAATATCAAGTTTTACATGAAGTGGAATGACTAAAAACAGGCTGGCATTACGTATCAAAGGTAGTTGCTTGTGAAGAAGGGGCCTCCTTTTTAGCACTGTGCTTTCTGACAGAGCCCATGCCAGCAGTGGAAACGGTGCAAGTTGGCCCTCTGCTCTAACCTGGAGGGTGCTAAAAACACCTCTATGCAAGAACGGGGGCTCTGAAGCCTTCCAAGCTAGACTGCACCTTCCCCCTTTTTTCAATTGTTTTTTCTTCTCCTATGACATTTTAAAATGATATGAGCCACAAGGGCTAGATTTATGTCTCTCAAACTTGTAATAATATCGAGGAGCAAATGTGCTGCATTTCGACACCTGGGATACTCACTAGCTCCTTAGCTGAGTGTTTGCTACTCAAAGGCGAGGCAGCATTTTCAACAGTGCCTTATAATGCCAGCTTGCAGAGTATGATAAGATATCTCAGCTATTTCATATTGTATCCAGGGGAAACCCAGCATACAAATTACTCAGGGATATTTTACACAAAATTATAGAAAATTTTAAGCTCCTGTTATTGTTACAGAGAAGGTGGAATAAATTATATGGTATCAGAAGCATTTTTAAGAAAGTTTTTACTTTTTGGTAATAGGAAAGATGACTTAAAACGGGTATGTTATACTTAAGGACTATTTTATCTTTGTCCTTTGCGACATTCCGCTCATCACTCACAAGAAAAAACACATCAGAACTGCCAGCAAACACCAGGTCTGTTCAGTAACCGTGTTCGGACCATGCAACTCTCAACACACAAGAGACCTCAGTACACAGGAACACCACAGTCTTGCCTGAAGCGGGTCTGTGTCTCATGCTCAGTTGTTAAGCTCAGCAGTGGGGAGGAATTCTTCAAGAGGATCATTCCTTCAAAAAACAACCAAATATAACCATGTGTCTAAAAAGTATAAACACTCACACAATACATGCTAAAAATTAAAGGCATAATAGTCCATTTGCATGTATGTAAATCAAGTGTTGGATCTGAATTTAAATATTAAAGGAGTAACACACACATGTAACGGGGAGATATTTAGAGTTTGTGCTGGACTGGAATGATACAAAAGAGTAAACAGGGACTACCAAACGGACACAATGTTACGTGGCATGCCAGATGCCACGAAAGGCAAGGAAATCTGCCTCTGCATTTGGAGATCGACCTGCTCGCCATGGGGACGACGCAGAGAGGCCACCTTGGTGCCAGTGACCCTGGCAGAGCAGGCCCCAGCGCAGGGAGCAGAGCGTCAGCCAGTGGAAACCTTTGCATTTAGCTGGGGTTTTGCAGGGGTCATGCAGCTGGCGTTGGAGTCCATTTAGCTAGTGGATCTGTGCCAAAAAGCACGGGAACAGAGGCACTTACGTGGAAAGCCACTCACTAAAAATGGTGCTGCTTCTCTTGCCAGAGGCAAAGGGATGTTATCAACTCGGGGCCCCTGTGGCCATCCCCACAGCCTCTGTTCTGCACTGGGCAGACTCATCTGGGGCAACGAGGCAGTTCAGTCCCGCGCAGTGACCTGGGGACATCTATTCAGTGAGACAAGACCCAGTGGAACTGATCTGCTTTCTCTGCAGTTCTTATGCTCCAAGAGGCTTTTGCTGTCCCTATGTTTCTCCTTGTTTTTTCTTTATCCTTGCCTGGATAAAATGTCTGTTTTTCTCTGGTGTTTCTTAGGCCGATTGCTACTAGTGGTACAGCATCCAAACACCTTCCATGTCTCCTGCGAGCCCACCCACTGGTGGGATGTGCTGCGAGGTGAACCTGGAGCTGCAGCCCAGTGGTTCCTGGAAGCTCATGTTCTCCTAAAGCAAGGCTTGAAAAGGAACCTCTGCTCTGGAGAAGCAACCACTGTACTTCCTCCAGGATCATTTTTCCCCATCTAGCAGCAGGGATATGACAAGTCAAAAGATCAAGACAGAAAAAAAGAGCAATTCTGTAAAACACAGGAAAAAAAATAACCCAGCAAAAGTCTCTCCTTTCCTCGACCCCCAGGCATGCTCCCTTCTCACCCTGCTTACAGACAAGTCACCTTTCTCATTTCCACCAGAAACCATTTAACCCTTGAGCAACATCTCTGTTTGGCTACAGACGTCAACCTTGCTCAGCGTGTGTGTGGAGCACGGGGCTCTCCTGCCAGAGGCTGCTCTTGGTGCCACAGTCAAGTGTCAGATACCTCCATCCAAGACCTCGCACTGTCACAGCGCTCCCAGTTCTATGTTTTTAAAAGTAGTTATACCTTGGAAGGTGTCCAGGCTTCCTCCTTTCTAATTCAATTTTTAGAGTTTCTTTTAAATTAAGTTTAGCTATGAACTAATGGAAATAAATTAACTCTGAAGTATATCATGGTGGTCCTGGTCTTGCAGCCTGTGGTGCACTGATGAATGATCAGCATCGTAAAATAGCTGTTAATAGGTTTTAAAGCCAGAGGGGAAAATTATGATCATCTAATTCTGACCTCGAGCACAGGCTGGCGCCTGGATACCACCCTGGAACTTCTGTGCCAGGTCCACGCTGCGGCTGAGCTGGAGCACGTGTTACAGCTGGGCAGGACCACCCACCCATTTTACATGAGGACAGATCCTCAGCTTGTGCAAACCAGCCAGTTTCACCAACACAGCACCAAGTTGCACTGCTTGCAAAGCTAGTCTGCTGCTTCCGCGGTGCCATGAATGTTGTTCTCGTCCTCGAGACCAGTGCTGGTCTCTCCCGGTCACTACCTGGTGCCTGTGACAAGTGGTGGTGCCTCCTCCCTGCTCTCCCTCACCCTTCTCTCCAGGCTTTCCTCTTGTTGAGCTCTGGTCATCCCAGCAAGCTGCCAGCTACCAGCCTTCACCATCCCTCCAGCAAGCTGCCCAGGTCCACTTTGAGTACTGTGAGCAATGCAATTCCTACTTCCCAAACTTCATCTTCTCTTCAGCTACTTCAAAACACAAAACAAGAAGGAAACTGTTCAGCTATTTTGTTAGTGCCACGGGTTTCACTTGCAAGCGCCAGCAAATGCTGCTGCAGCAAGCGAAGATAGCCAGGTGTTTGCTGGCTCCCCCTGCCCAGCCCACGGAGTGGGCAGATGTGGCCTCCCCTGGATCACCTGGTGCACGTTGCAGCGCGTCAGGCCTCGAGGCGAGCAGGGCATAGGGCACGTTTCTTTTCTGAGGAGTGAAATAAATGACTTGGCTTGGGCAGCTGGAAAAGGACACTTCTTCTAAGTGCTGTCCAATGAAGCGGGGGCGGAGCTTAGGCCAGTGAGATCAAAAACAGTCCAATAAAAGCTGAAGTCTGCGGCAGTACAGACAGCTTTTATCATCTCCTGAGCCATTTACTTTCAGAAGCTGAAAAATGGCAGCATGGGAATTTTAGGTGAAATTTCACTCCAGGTGATGATTGTGCTGAGCAGTGTTAACTCAGGCTCTCATTTTAAATCAGACTCTTAGTGTTTAACGCCTTGCTCTCCTGCCTCATTCCCTCTGCAAAAAGACCTTTAAAGCATCCTTAGGCTTCAGTTGGCAGCAGCGGCATCCCTGACTTCAGGAACTCGTTTCCACCTCTTCCAGCACGCTGTGGGTGCTGTCAGAAGCGGTGGCTGATTACCATTATTGCAAATATTTACTGTTTTCTAATTCCTGAACATTGTGAATATTATGAAAATCTCCAGGCAGAGCTTGGCTGATCCGTGAAAGGCAACTACTCTATTTTGGGTTCACACTGCTCAGGGAACAGCATTTATTGTATTGAATTCAAACCTCATTTAAAATTGCCTTTACAGATAATAAATCCAAATGTTCCTTTCATAATTATTCTGTACTAAAATTAATGCCGAATAACATGCAAGCAAGCAGGCAGGCCTTTATGGGCCTTACAGCACTTCTCTTTGGAAACTGCTGGAACTGTCTACATAAATAATACCATGCCATTATCCTTAAAGCAGCACATTTGTTTTACAGCGAACCCTTAGAGGGAGAACACTCTTGTATATAATATTGTAGCTTCCTGTGTGCCTTAATCATCTATCACATCCCTTAAGGAAAGATCTCCTAGAAGAGAACTCTTTTTTCCCCCTCTACTGCTTGACATAAAACCCTAACAGCCATTAGGATTGGAAACCCTCCCTTCTGAGAGACTATTTCTCTTCTTTACTCCTTCTATCTGGTTGTCTCGGTAGAGAAACTTTCAATGTGCTCTGTTTGAAACCCACACAGGTTCTTACACTGAAACTGCGCACAAACCACCACAGCTTCCCACAGTCCTTCTCCAGCGCTGACTCTCCCTGTTCCTTCTAAATTACTCCCCATCCTTTTGCTTGGACACTTGCCCTTGGGCAGGGCTGTGCAAATGCCTGGGGCTCTGCCCAGAGTGTCTTTGTCTCCCAGATCCTGCGTGTGATTTACTGCAAAGCCTGTGCCCGGTGAATACGTTTGATAAATTATAATCTCATCCTATTTATCAATATCATCCTGTTAGAATCAGTGGATTTTAACTCAAAGGACACATCTTCTGCTGAAGTGAAACCAGATCAACGTTTGGAGCCGCAAAGTAGCAAAATGGAGCGGCTCCTGTAGCACTGATACCCAAAGCACAGAACCTCTGACCGCTTCTGACAAAAGCTGGCATCAGAAAGCCAAAAATACAGGAGGTGGAAAATGGCAGTTTTGTTGAGGACTGCCACTGAGTAGGCAACTATGCTCTAATCAGAAACTTTAAAAGGAAAAGCAAGAGTAACTCAAATGGAGACCTTCTCCTGTCAATGACGCCGGAGCTTTGCTGAGCTGTTACAGACGTGGCCCGGAGGGAGCGAACGGTGAGTGCCGCATCCCAGCTCCGCTCCCGCCAGTCCGGCGGCTCCTACGAACCCCACCGAGAGCCCATACACCACAAAACAAGGGCTTTTTCTTCCACACATAGATAAGGATTCTGGGCTCTTTCTTCCATGCATAGATAAGGCAAAAAATGCAGGTTGTTTTACTTACGTTCAGTCCACTTGCCCTGCTCACTCTTTGCTGGAAGGGGAGCCCCCGTCAGGTGATGCATCACTGCCCTCCTCTGCTGTATTTGTGTGCTCCCGTCTTGCAAATACAGAGCTCACCGCTCTTCTGCAACAGAACCAGAATATCCAAAAGTTAGGGAAGATGACCACTTACCAGCACTGCTAGAAACCAAACCAAACGTTGCCAGTGAGGGGCATCAATGGGTTGGCTGCAAAGGTTGCTCAAAAATTGGGAATTTTTTTCCCCCTTCTGGGAACCTGGGTTCTCTGAACATTTTTTTCTTTCCAATAGCATCCACAATAGAGGCAAGAACAAGGCATTGCACATGCCTGAGAATTGCAATCTGGCAGAGGAGGACAAAGTATGGTTGCATTAGGTGAAACCAGGCGAAGAGGAGGCTCTTGCAGTTCTTACAGTGAGTGCAGTGCACCCAGGAAACATTCCTGTGCAGGAGCCACCTGAGTGAGAGGTGAAACTCATCGTGTTGGTGCAGCGGGAAACAGACTCAGAAGCCAAGAGGAATTCTGAGGCTCTTTTCAGGCTTCCCTTGCAAAGGAAATGGGGTACAGAGGCTCAGTCCAATTAGGAAAAAAGATTTAATCTCATTACTTTCCACAGATCTTAGTCTCTGAGAACCAGCTGAATACAAAGACGAAAAAGAGATGCTTCAGGCCTGAACATTTTCAGTGAAAGGTATCTAAAGAAAATATAGCTGAGCAATATAGGAAAGTCCATGCAGAAGCTGATACACTTCTTCTCAAAGTTTTCTTACTCCTAGGTGAAGTATTTGTCAACTTTTTTCAATTAGTTTCGCAGCTGAAAGGACTCTGGTAGCGCGAAGCCTTACAAAGACACACGATTAAATTGACTTAGACAGGTGAGGTTCGGTGCTCGCTAAAAGGTCACACAATTCAAAGTGACAGGTATCGCAGAAGACAACCTGACTAGTCCAATATATTTCCCCTGCTAGAAAAGCCAAGGACTTGCAGGGAACAGATTATCATGGAAGCTGCTCCCAGAAGTTATTTAACTTAGTGACCAAATAAAAGTTGTGGCTATAGAAAGTAAATGACAGCAGAGCTGCTTGCTGAGCTCTTGCCTGGGCTTGCCTACAAAATGCTCCATCATCTCCATTTTCCTTCCTGTTTGAATTAGCGAATTGGCCATTTCGTCCCCTTCTAAATGCTTCTGACTAATTTCAGAGGGTTCTTCTGGCTCTCAGCAAAGCCAGACACAAATTTAGTTTAGTAACTGCACAAATATAGATGTCATCAGGGCACTTGAAAATATTTAAAAAGAATTTCAGACTGATTTGCTAGTCCTAATTTGACCAAGATGTACAGAAGTGAGCCATAAAATACACTGCCATAACAGCAAACCCATTCAAGGTGTATTTGAAAAGCAAGGCTATCTCCTTGTGTCACTGTGAGGAGGACAATAACAGGAGCTGGTGGGGAGGAGACCTAGATAACCGAAAGCAGTTTCGTGGTTACCCATTTATTTTTTTTAATTTTGTGGACAAAATAATCATGCAGAACAAGCATGCCTGCTTTCCCCAACTCAAACACAATTTTCATTTGGTATTTTTATTTATAGACAAATAATACATTTAGCCACTCCACACTGTGAGTGGCAGACAAAATGTTCTTGCAATGATGAGTCAGACTGAGCTCTCTGTAGCGCTAAATTACAGTGGGATTTTCACTACACACCACTCCTAGCAATATGAAAGGTCAGTACACACGTATCTTCAGGTGCGAATGTGAGATGAGGAAATGCTTAAGCTTTTATCTTGTTTCAAAGTGCTTTGGGTTAAGCCTTACAGCTTTGCTGAAGGCTTTCCCGGCTTACATCTGCTGAATGATAGTGTTAAATCACGACCGCACCAAGGGCCCACACACCGCGGCCCTTGGCCAAGCCGCCCTGCGGCCCCACTTTTGCAGGAAGGAGGGAAGGAAGCGAACTGGGATCGGGAAGCCACATGAGCCTCTCTGCACGGTGCACGCGGGGGCCGGCACGGATTTGGCAGCTGCCCTCGGTGGCAGGAGCCACAGGCGGCTCCTCGTGAGCCCCATGCTTGGCTTTGCCGCGCTCACAGCCCACTGCAGCTCCATCCACTGCAGCTCCAGCCGCGTCACAACCACTGCCATGTTCTGGGAAGCACAAGTTTAAAAACAAGGGAAAACTTGTCTCAACTTTGGGAATGAAGCAAAGTAGAAGAGTTTTTCTTCCCCCACTACAGCAGCACTGGCCTCTCCCTGACCATGCTCCCCTTCAGAGACCTTGCTTTGCTGGCAGTAGGGTCCTCAGCTTTTTTATTACAGCTTTTACATTTTCATTCTGGGCTATACCTGTGGGACTATTCAAAATTTCTTTCTGTTTTCCATTTCATAAAGAAACATGCCTGTGAGCAAAATCCCCAAAAAGTCTTTCTATGCATAAAACTGATTCACCAAATTACAACTCGGCCATGGAAACGGGTATTTATGCTTTTCTGACACTATCTCTGTAGGAATGGACACCAGTGATTGCTCTGTGGTTTTTTTTTTCTCACTGACACCATCTTCTGATGCAGTTTTCCATAGTTCATTAAAAACTGGCAAGCGCTTACTGCTATTTTTCTTACAGTAGTAACACAAGTGATTACACTTTCTAAAGGTAAATACAGAGTGCTAAGAAATGTCCTTCTACCTGTCTGAAAAAAGAGGTCTGACTTGTGAGGCTCCTCTGTATCCCCAGCTCACATAACAATGCACATAACGAACAGTGTCTTTAAAAGTTTCCACCAAATTAACTGGAAATGAAGGCCACAGACCAAACCTGTGCTAGACATTCAAATGCAAAACTGAAATGTTAGGCTTATCTCAAAGCCTGCAGTTTTCAGAACACTGTTTCCTGAAGTGTCAGTGGTTTTTAATACAATACAGAGCTTAAAAACAAATGCATAGGGTCTTCTTCAGAAGTTTTAATAAAAAGACAGAAAAATTAGTTCTCTATTTTGCGCAGTACCTTGCAATTCCTCTGGCTTGGGTTAAACAATTCCTCTACCTGCTGACATAAAACGCAGAGCAACAGATCCCTCTTTCTTCCAGTTATATAGAGGATGCCATAAGGAGCTGTGACTCAGTACGGTCCCTGCTTCTGTCAGAAAGACCTCACTCTCAAAAATAAGAACACTAGAAGAAACACTAACGCAATGTTCACTGTGGCCCTGGCCAGCCCAGGGTGCTGCCACCTTTGTCTGTGTCTGGCTTAGCTACTGCTGTACTCCAAAGAAAATAAAAATTAGTAACGCCAAGTTACTCTCTTCCCTGGAGTGAAGCCATGGGCTGCACTTCAATGATAGGTGCAACCCCAGAGCTCAGTTATCCTGCCATCTTTAAGGTGGAAAGCCACTACATAGGAACCGGATTATTACTGCAACAAAGGAAAACATTGGAAGGAGCTAAAACATGGGGAGCTGAAACCGAAGTCCAGTGAGGAACCTGGCATGACCTCTTCAGCATTGCGGACATTAAATGACTGAGTGAACTAGCATGTGCTGTTGCTATAGATCTTTTTAAACTTTGTCACTGGCATATGGGAACATGTTTTCATCTCAAGGACAGCCTGGGAGGTTTTGAAGGTCTTTCCCCCAAGTAGTCAGGAGAGTAGATGAAATTCCTCATGGCTCCCAGACATATTAGTTGCAACCCGCATACAGAAGATGACCAGAAAAGTTAGCAAAACTGCGCTGAGACTCAGGGCTCCGGCCCAGACAGGGCTTCCAGGCAGCACGCATGCTTAAAGCACAGCAGCCCCGGAGCAGGGCCACGCTGCCTCTGTCCACTGGAGCTGCTGCTCTGGACATGTCCAACCCCACAGACTCCGACCCCTCATGTTCGCATGCAGGGCCCAAAAGTCAAGCACATCATAAATCAAAACCTAAAAGCCTGAAGGGCTTCGGGGGCAACAAATTTACCTCCTCAGAAAAAAGGGTGCTGTGAAACTCCAACAGTTTGGCTCCATTTCCAAGAAACAACTGTGTGCAAGGAGCAGGTTGGGGAGAGGAGCTGTGTGCACCGAGATGATCTCTGCCCAGGTGCATGTGCTCGCAGCAGCTCCGCAAGCTGCTTCCCCTTGCCCGCTTTGCCCACAGCCACCAGGCTGCATTTAAAGTCTTCTCCAATGACCTGGTCAGCCTATTCGGGTTGAAGAAGCCCCATTTCATCTGAGTCCAGCCATTAATCCAGTTAGACTTAATTAGAGCGTTTGCACAAGTCTGAACTAATTTCTGTTTACAGAACAGATTGGATAAATATCCCTGTGAGAGGCTGAAAATTCATTACAGCAACAGCTTAGGTCCCTGTATTTCTAAGCTGTCTTGATATCAGGAAATTACTTCGGTACCCTAACATAAATCTATCCTTTCAGTAAGCTCTTAATGTAAAAGCACTGTAGAAATAATGTCAACAACCTTGTGATGACTAATAAATAGACTAATGTACATCCAGCTGCACATAATAAACCTTTAGATAGCCTAATGCCATCATAAACCACGAGGGAAGGTATCACACAGTTGCAACTAAGGTTTTATAGGCGGGCACAAGGCTTTCTTGTGGTCCCACTCGGCAGCAGCAGCTCCTTCCCCCCGAGAGCGCGCGGAAGAGCCCAACAGGAACCATGAGGCACCCTCATCTCCGTGCATCTGGAACTACTGGGCTACCCCAGATCCATAATGGCAAGATGACCTTGCTTGCATCGCTTTGCTAGTCTCCTCTACTTGTTAGGTAAACTGCAAGATACAAGAGCTCTAGCTCTTCCTACCAGTCTACACACTTGGGCTTGTTATTCCCGCAGCTCCAGGCTGTGTCCCCAGGCCCGCAGGCTCCTGCACGCAGGGTTGACAGCCAAGCATCCTGCCTTCCCAGGCAGGAGCCACCCTGCCGCACTCCCTGGCTTCCCCAGAGCCTACTGCACTACTCCATGTGGCTTAGTATCGTACAAGCCCAGTATTTAATTTTTGGGTACTGCTTGAAATATGAAATGTCACCTGAACACAAATGACTCCTTGTGTCAGGAGACACTGCCCTGAGAGAGGACGATGTCTACTAGTGACCAGAGCA